CAAAAAGTCAAATGTAATAATATATTCAGCCTTCGACTTAAAAATCATAATATAATATAATATACAGTTTCTGTTCTTAAAATTATCGATTATATAAAACTAGAAATACTATTTTTTTAAACAATATATAATTATTAAATAGTAATCAATTATTATTTTACTAGAATTAATTTTGTTTTAGGATATATATAATGTCATATATAATGTCACAATAAAATGAAGTTAAGTTGTTTTTAAATTTTGTTTAAGATATTTGGGGGCTTGTGCCGAATATACATACGTTAAATATTAGACACGTGATAGGTGTAATAATCAGATAATCTTATTTATTAATGTCGTTCATACATTGAAGTACAATGCATTTTAGAAATTTGTTTTACATAATAAACCTTATAATTATAAATTCAATTATTAGTTCCTTTTTTTATTAATTTATATTAAGATAACATTTTTTAATAAAAAATTATATAAAATGTGTAAATTATTCTTATGAAAAAAATCTTTAAAAATTCTAAATGCTTACATATATGGCACAATAATTAATTGTAAACATGGAATCTCAAAAATTAATAATGGATATATCAGTGATCAATTATAATACAGTTGTATAAGTTATAACCTAACCGAAGAACATAATTATCCAATTTATTATTAATTATATTCATGTTTACTTCATGTAGAATTGTTCATAAAGATATAATATATTTAGGTACCCAAATTTATTAAAATTTATTAAATTGTAATTATTATAGTTATTATTATATTTAAATACTGGAAACTAAAAACTAAGTCAACATTTACAAATGGCTACTATTAAATTTCAAAATTTAAGTATATTTTAATTTGATGTGGTTTTTACCCTATCAAAATGTGTTATTGAAAAATTCCGAATTTCAATACACGAATTACTCAGTTAGGCTTTAAAATGTACTCGTATTATACCTATTCAATATGACGAATAATTCATATTTTTTGTAACGGAACCACCGAACTGCTCTTTTTTTACTAGAATTATTCTTAATTTCGTTTAAGTTATAAAGTTGCATTATCATTGTCATGAACCTTGATAGTTCAATTAATCATGTAACTTATAAATGGCTATTTTTTCGGATAAGAAGATGACCTCTCATTAGTATAAGAATATAATAATTCCGACTGTTGTATTAATGTTTTACAGGAAATTTAAAATTATTATACCGATCGGTATTTATTTARTAAATTGTTTGTAAGATTTCGTAGTTATTTTTGCCTCTTAAGTTAAAATGATTTTTTTTTTTTTTGACTAACTGATGGTAATTGTTTTTAAGTATTAAGTAGGTTGCGTGGCCATTTACGTTTGAGGCGGCGGATAGGGTTATCTGGGAGTGAGAGAGAAGAGAGGTTTGAGATGAGAGGGTTAGGATGATTAATAGTATTTTTATGAAATTTTTTGTAGTGGTTTGACGCTATTTCAGAGATAGTTGGAATTTTAGATCCTTATGTAGAGTTCGATTGCTGACATACCAGGGAGAATTGGTTAAGAGTCGGAGATTGATGGATTGAAAGGATTGGAATTTATTTGAGTTAGAGTTTTTAGAGGTTCCCCAAATTTGTATGCCATAAGTCATTGCAGGTCGAATGATTTGTTTGTATATGAGAAGTTTATTGTTAAGAGAGAGGTTAGATCGCAGGAGCTGTCTGAATTTATGGAGWTTTAGATTGAGGGAAGATCTTTTGTTTTTTATGTGGGCTGCCCAAGTTAGCCTTTTGTCAAGATGAAGTCCAAGGTATTTTACGGAGTTTTGTGTTTGGATTGTTTTGTTGTTGACTGTTTTTAAGACCAAGAGTAAATGTGATGAATGTTGATTTGTTTTCATAGATTTTTATTCTCCATTTATGGAACCAATGTTGTAGAGTTACTAGATGTTCTTGGAGGTGGTTTGTGGCAGCTTGAAGACAAATGTTGGATGATAGAATAGCGGTATCGTCGGCAAAGGTAGTTAGAGTAGAGTTATTTGAGTGTGGCATGCCAGAGGTGAAAAGATTATATAACGTAGGAGCGAGAATGCTTCCCTGGGGAACCCTTGTATTTATAGGGTGAGTTGACGAAAGTTCATCTTCACAGCGAACCTGGAATGATCTGTTTAAGAGAAAGGATTTTATGGTAAGATATGCGGGAAGAAAACGAATTTTGTATAACAAGCCCTTATGCTACACCCGATCAAGGCTTCAGCTACATCTAGGAATAAGGCATTGCAGTAGTGTTTGTTTTCAAAGGTAGATGCGATATTATCAACGATTCGGTGGACTTGGTGCAGGGCAGAATGGTTGTTTCTAAAACCAAATTGGGTATTGGGAATGGTTTTTTTCTCCGTTATAATTTGGTTGATTCTTCTAAGCAGAATTTTTTCAAGGATTTTTGCTAGGGAGGGAAGCAGACTAATCGGACGGTATGAGGAGGGAAGATCGGGGGGTTGACCTGACTTATGGATTAAAATTATGATTGATTTTTTCCACGTACACGGGATGTATGACAGGCGCATGATGGAGTTAAAAATATGTGATAGGTCTGGTATACCTACACAGGGGAAAGCTATTTGATCTTTTTAAATTATATTTATTCGTCTTATCGTTCACTATATGCCTATTATTCTTATATATGGTATCTACATATTAAATTTAATTCTTAAATCTCCGAGTACAATTTATTAATATTGAAAAAATACACATAATATTACCTCTCGAATTATCATTTATTTTTATTGATGGGCCTTTTATTCGTATTCCCCACAGTGAACAAATATATATATACATATATTAGAACATTGTATTTTATTTTAATACTTAATAAAAAATAATAAAAATATACAACGAAACTTCTTAATTTAGTTTTTTAGTAAAATGTATATGGTTAGTTATAGGCTGGATTACATTTCAGTATTAAGATTATGTCAGCGTAATATTTGTTTTCTCTCTCAGATTCACCCGAGAAAGATAAAACACTTTCGTCGTTTATATGATTTTTATGTAACCTTAGAGTAAAATCACATAGTTTTATGATGAAAATTATAGAAGATAATACTTTTGATTGTATGACATAACGGTTTTATACTTTCTAGTTATTTGACTTTGTATTCGATTTAAAAAAAAAATTGCAACTAAAGATGTTTAAATTGTTTTTAGACAATATTTAGACATAGCGAATCGATATGTCATCCCTTCAAAAATATTATTCTTTTTTTTTTATTAGAATAAGCCTCGACAGCGGTGCCATTGGCATTTGGCTGACATTGTTTACATTGATTTTATATAATTTTTTACATAGGTAGTTTTGTTTTTACATATTATTTTATACTATTTGTTTACAATAAATTTTCGATTTCAGTTTCTTTTATGAAGCTTAGTGTCTGTTTGTTGGCTAATASGTTTGGACCTAATGATTAGTATAGAAATTCTGGGATGTTGTGWTTGGTTCTTGCATCTCTGTTTGTCTGCATTCGACGAGTATATGTTTGATAGTCAAGTGAACTCCGCATGTTRTGCACCTGGGTAGTTCTCTTTGCTCATTAGGTAACCATGTGTGGGTGACYGGTYAAAATATCTTCGAAATAATATCTTTGGTCAAAATATCTTAGTCAAAATATCTTTAGTCAAAATATCTTTAAACAAAAATGTTTTCGAACAAAATATCTTTTTATTTTATTTTTATTAGCTTATTACATATCATTGTATCTCCGGTTTAAATTTTATATTTTATTGTATAAATATTATATGACAATATAATATAATATAATATAACACAAAAACTGGCTKGTGATCCYCATCACTATAGRCTATATAGGTATTTAATACGTATACATATTATGCCATATTGCCATTAAGATAAAAAATGGTAAAGGCCTTATAGGTTTATTAGATACCTATAACTTAACTAGCTGGAAATTTGAGCAGGTTTATGTATAATTTTGTCATAAGAGTTTTACTCGTCAATTGGTGTACTTGGCTTTTGATTTTTTTTCTTCAATATGACTCTTACTTTTATTAAAAGTCAAAAATTAAGTAATTAATAATTATTCTTGTATTTATTTTAACTATTTTGTTTTTTTAACCAATAAATATTATCTTATCTTATTTAAAAAAAATCAGTTAAAAAGATATTTTGGCAGAGATATTTTGACCGAAGATATTATTTCAAAGATATTATGACATGGAACCCCGTGTGTGAAGCGAGTATGTCCTATTCTTAGACTTGTTAATAATATTTCTTCTTTTCTGTTAAAATGTGCTATGTTTTTCCAACGTTCTGTAGTTTGTTTTATTTTGTTRAGTTTGGTTTCTTTTCTTATTATTCTTTATTGATTTTGTAACTGATAATTTTACCTTAAGATTATTCAAAAAGCACTTATGCACTTAAAAACCTCATAATATGCACATTTTTTTAACATGAATGTACATTGCACAAAACTGACTGAGATTAAATACTAAAATGTTGATTATTGTCATGTCTAGAAACGTTTTATAAATAAATCCTAATCGAATAAAAGACCGTGTGGTGCGCACAAAGTTGTGGTGGCGATGCCATAGGTATAGTGTACGACGTTAGATCGTTATCGCTTCTACGAAAAATGTGTGCCCGTGGACAGTCAAAAACCATATTATACGACAAAAATTAAAAATAAATAAATTTTTTCCAAAATTTTTGACTGTATTGTTTGAAATAAAAATTCACTGTGGAAAAAATGTATTTAAGGTAAATATGTCACAATAGTATAAAATAGCATATGAAAGTGTAAAATATGCCTTAAAAACCAAAAAACGCATAATATRCATTTATATGCACAATAAAATTTCAAAACTAGCTTTGTGAAAGCATAAAATGTATTTGTATCGTACTCTGCTATTTTTGTGGCTGTGTAAAACAAATATGCAAATGCTTCAAGTCCTCTGCCATATATTTATAAATAATAAATGTATTTTCAATTTATAACAAATATTGTACTAATTTTATTTTATTTTTATAGTATGCAGTTTTGTTGTGCACAAACGTTGTCATGAATTTGTTTCTTTTACTTGCCCCGGAGCCGACAAGGGACCTGATTCTGATGTAAGTAATCCAATTATTACGATTTTCATAACAAAAACTTAACATTGTTTTTTTTTTCTGAATTGATAATTTTATTTACAAACATAATGTGCAGGACGACCACTATACGTTTAGATCAGATTATTTAGACTGATAATATAATGGGCTAATATAGTAATGTCTATATTACAGAACAACATAGATTACGTTAWGTCATGTTATGTTATAATCTAAAAAATATTTCTTGCATTCAGTATTTTTATTTTATWCATATTTTGTAGAACGGCGGCTAGTATAGGCAATATTGATACACATATGTTGTCGATCCAACAAAACGTATTTATTAGCATATAATTATGTACCTGTAATATAATACAATAAACAGTTGATAGTTTTGTAATTATTTCTTATTTTTAGTGTTAAACTAATTAAATGAATCTTGATTTTTTTTTTCTTAAATTTTGTGGAATCATCAGTACAAAGTGATGTCATATGATATCTTTGAACTTGAGTTAAATTAGAGTTGAATCTTTGCGGAATAATGAGTTCAAAACCGTATTAATTAGTGTGTTTTTAATTTGTAGACTTTACACAGATTTTGGATTCAACTTAACATTTAGTTTAAATTAAATAGTTATTTATAAAAACAATATAAATATCAGTTTGACCCTAACTATACTAGGTTTGCTTCAAATTTATAACACACAAGAGTACAATTTATTTTTTGAATAATTGAAATAAATTTTTTTGAACTAAGATAAAAATTCTCGTATGATTTATCAAAAAATCACAATAATATTTCTTATGTCATGTTCTGTTATATATACAAACATTTTGACCTTAAGACAACAAATAATAATAGATATGACACAAATATAAAATATATTATTTTCGCTTTAAGCCCAATGGCCCATGTTGCCGAGGGCATATATACAATAAATAAAAAAAATAACCAGGTATATGTAATTAAATTTAAATTATTTTCGTCGATTTTATTTTTTTTTTTATTATAAATAAAGGCCTTGACAACATACCGTATTTTTTTATAGTGATTTATAACTTATGRTTAATATTAAGAACAGTTATACTTGAATATATTCAATATTATTGTAAAAATCATTATTCATTTTAGTGATTTTAAACTTAACTTATCTATGAATGATTGATAATATTATTTTTGGTGTATATGGATTATAGATAACATTATTTCTTATTTTTTTAAATTCATATCATTTAACTGTTACCCCTTAATGTAACTATTGATAAAAAAAAAAATTTATTAATGAAAATTTCTGACATTTTAGATTCTGAGAAGAGCAAGGAATGTATTAATTTTACAATGATGTGTTTTTTTT